AACCAAATAAATGGGGTAAAACTCAGTATTGTAAAGGTATAAATTTCTCTCCCAAATTCAATGAATTAATGCAATCCCAATCTATTTTCCAACATTTTTTTCCTGTTGGTGAAATTAACATTTAATATTCTAGGATTTTAAAATTATTTCCACATTTAGCTACTGCTACTTGAAGGAGTGAAATGTGACTATATCAATTATTAGAAAGGAATGAGCCTGGCAAACATGGTTCAGTGGTTAAGCATCGATCCATGGACCAGGAGATCAGGGTTCGATTCCCAGTCAGAGCACATACCCGGGTTGTAGGCTCGATTCCCAGTGTGGGGCTTGCAGGAGGCAGCCAATCAATGATTCTCTCATCCTTAACATTTCTATCCCTCTCTCCCTCATCCTTCCTCTCTGAAATCAATAAAAATACATTAAAAAAATAAAAAGGGAATTAGGTCACAACTAGTGAACTGCAAAGCCAGCAAAAAAGCATCAAAGCTTTTTTTTTTTAAAAAATAAAATGTTGAAGTAATGAACATAACACCATTAGCATTAAAAATGCATGGTGTCAACCTTTATTATAACTGGACAGTTTTTAATACTAAAAGAATGGAATAGTCATAGAGTGATGAGAAATAGAAAAAAGAGTCTGCAGTGGCAAAGAAAATAGAAAAACAGTATTTTGTGACTAGATGAAGAGATTTTGCCAAGATCATTATCTAAATCAAAATACATCGCATTCACAAAATCAATATTTCCAATTAAAAAGAATAATCTCTCCAAGGTTTTCTGAAGTTCCCATATCAATGTATTGTTATGGGAATAAACATCAAAAAGTTTGTTGAAGGCAATTTTGAGACAAAAATCTCATGTTTAATTACCGAACTTAGATAATTTAAATCTCTTCAACTGGCATTTATAAGATGACCAGAGGCCTTGGACAGGATCAGGCAGCCATGAAGAGTGCTATAGGCAGGAGCACAGAAGCTGACAGTCAAGGAAGACCACGGAGACAAAAGGCCTAGAAGGAAAACAGCACCAGGCCCAGGATCCTGGACTTCTCGTAAAAGCTCTTATTCAAGTAATACCTAGATAAGGCTGACTGATAATTAGCAGCAGACCCCATTGTAGTCATTGTCAACTACTAAATGACATTTCCTATATTTGCTGGGATTTATGTTAAGCAGGTAAATTTCACATAGTTTACTCCAATACATTTTTATTTGTAAGAAAAGGAAAAAAAAAAGATCATCCCTTTAAGAAATCACTTAAAAAGTATTATAGGTATCAGGTGATTGGATGAACTGCATAGACTGCCAGGCAATGAACAGATACTACTTACTTCAAAGGATTTTTGTTTTTTGGTAGTGAGGTGTGGTGCTGCAAGTTGAAATCTGACTCAGAATCCCTTACCGCTGTATTTGCACAGCTGCCTTATATAAACATATAGAATCCAAGAACAGAAATGAATTGCATTTTGCATCCATTAAAAAACCTGCTTAGATAAAAATAATTATTTTACTATAAACTGAATTGTCAAAAAATATATGACACTTCCTCCTGGTAGAAGTGTAAACAACCAGCCATCTTTATTTCAATATCTTCACCGATTGACTATATGATACTTCCATGAACGGCAAATAAAACTAGAAAAACAATTTCCTGAGACATTTGGAAAAGATGAGAAATGAATATTTGAGACAAAGAAATTTATACGTTATGTTACACAATGCCAGAAAGAAAGGGAAACTTTAGTTGTATCACCTAGAGCAAATAACTTACACGTCAGAGAACTTCGATGTTCCAATATCAATGCCTGCTTGATGGGCCTCCCACATGTAAAGGACCACTGTGTCCTCATCTATGTCGTAATGAGGAACATCTTTGACAATGGAAGTGATCTCTCTGGACAGCAAATACTAGAGAATAAATAATATGATCTATATAAATAGATTATCTCAAAATAAAATTAAAATAAATTGAATCACCAAGATCATGATTTCCTAAAATAAAATACTGTGAAATATTCATCTAGCTGGTTGTCTAGAAATAGGTTTATTTTCAAAATAAATTTTAACACTTGAAAATATTAAACTTTTCTATGAACAGGTGTATGCTAATCTATTTGCACAGACAAACATAATTTGGTAATTATCAATTTTACTGAAATAGCCGAAACCGGTTTGGCTCGGTGCATAGAGCGTCGGCCTGCGAACTGAAAGGTCCCAGGTTCGATTCCGGTCAAGGGCACATTCCCAGTAGGAGATGTGCAGGAGGCAGCTGATCGATGTTTCTCTCTCATCGATGTTTCTAACTCTCTATCTCTCTCCCTTCCTCTCTGTAAAAAATCAATAAAATATATTTTAAAAAAAATTTTACTGAAATAAATTTTTGTAAATGACATTATACTAATTTAATCATTAACTTAGCATATGTCAGCACACTAATAGGAAAAATTCCAGAGGAGAAAGGACAGAAATATACTTACAGTTTTATCTGCTTGTAAATGTAAAGTTTAATCTATTTTTAAACCACAAATCTCATAGAACACCTCAGTGTCTTCATTTGTCCTACTCATACAAATACAGTCACATTCTTTTACCTGATAAAACCTGTTGGCTAGATCCATAGCTTGTGGGTAGGATGCACGGCATTCTGCAATCGAATAACAGAAGTCAGACCTATATTCTTCTCGAGATACTAACTCCACCTGGTATGGTAAATCCTTCAGAAACTCAGACTCAATTGCAGCAAGAAAATACGGAACAATCACATAGAAGTTAATCTCTGTAATGAAGCAGAAGAAAAGTGTCTGGAATCATCAACTGTTTATTCAAAACAGGAATTAGCCAAATTACTACGGCTTAGTCTACATAATTTAGCTGGTTTATCCCCCAAACCATGATGTTAAACTTGTTGAATCTAGGAAATGCACAGGACTAGGAGAGCTTAGGGTTAATCACAGTCATAAAGTTTCACATACCAGGGGAACACTCCAGGTACAGGTACTTGTGCATGATCTAATTGAGTCAACATGGTTTCAAATTATTTATGTCCTATATTTATTTGCTCCTCAAACAGAAAATACATAATAAGGTTTGGATGAAGAAAACATTCATCTCAGATTGGGTATGTATGTAGATGATGCTCAAATATATTCCTTGTGGAGACTCTTTGTATACAATGAAGAAGAGGTTTTGAATGAACTATCTTATTTATCCTCTCAATTTAGGGATTCATGTTTCTGACTCTCTCTCCAATCAATATCCAATACATTTCCTTAATTTTCAATTTGTTATCTTTCTTCTGGTTCTTGATGCCAACTCATTTTTACCAAGCACTCACTATAGTACTTGTGCATATTCCGTTTTGGACTATTTATCGAATTCCCAATTCCTGTATTCATCTTGTCTACCAGGATTCTGGCAACTTCCAGTCCTAGATCTTCCTAGGCCTACTCCTCAGCCTGGCTTCGGTACTCACAGGCATGGATCCATGGTTTCTGTTCATGAAATGCATTTTCTGTGTTTCTTCTTGGCAACCAGAGAAAGAACCATCAATATTTTGATTGTTCATCTAGCTGTCAAGGAGCAGCCAAAGTAATTAAGAACACACGGGAGGAGATATGCATCATGGGAATATTAATAAATGTTCTTCGGTCCTATCGTTTTGTCATTATTTGAAACTTGGTAACTAGGTGACCTCTTTCCACAAAGGATTTTGTTCATTACCAAGTATGACCCTTATTGCTTTAATTGTAATTTAAAAATATTTAGAATTTTCAATTACATTTGACATTCAATATTATATTATTTTCAGGTGTACAGAATAGTGGTTAGACTTTTAATGTACAAAGTGATCCCCTGATAGGGTTTACACCCACCTCACATTATATGTAGTTATTACAATATTATTGACTGTATTTCCTATGATGTACTTTATGATTGCATGATAATTTTGTAACTACCAATGTGTACCTTTTAATCCCTTTACCTTTTTCTCTCAGCCCCCCAACCCTCCTCCCATGTGGCAACCGTCAGTTTGTTCTCTGTATCTATGAGTTTCTTTTGTTTTGTTTCTTTTGTGTGTTTTTTTTTAAGATTTCACATATAATTGAAATCATATGCTATTTGTATTTCACTTCTGAGATATTTCCCTTAGCATAATACTCACTAGGACCATCCATGTTGTCACAGATGGTAAGCTTTTATTCTTTTTTATGGCTGAGTAATATTCCATTGTATACTCGTATATGTACCACTTCTTTTTTTAAAATATATTTTTATTGATTTTGTACAGAGAGGAAGGGAGAGGGATAGAGAGTTAGAAACATCGATGAGAGAGAAACATCGGTCAGCTGCCTCTTGCACACCACCTACTGGTGATGTGCCCACAACCAAGGTACATGCCCTTGACCAGAATCGAACCTGGGACCTTTGAGTCCGCAGGCTGACGCTCTATCCACTGAGCCAAACCGGTTAGGGCTGTACCACTTCTTTATTCATTCATATTTTGATTGGAACATTTAATCCATTTACATTTAAAATAATTATTGCTAGGTATGTAGGTATTGCCATTGTATTCATTGTTTTCTGATCATTTTTGCAGTTCTCTGTTTCTTTCTTATTCTCTTGCTTTCTTCTCTTGTATGTTGGTGACTTCCTATAATGTTGTGTTTGGATTCCTTTCTCTTTATTTCTTGTGTATCAGTTGTAGATTTTTAGGTTTAGGCTACCATGTGCTTCATATATGCCAAGTTATGCTTATAACAGTCTATTTTACATTGATGGTTCTTTGAGTTCAAACACATTCTAAAATCACTAGGATCACTCCCCCTCTCCACGTTTATGTTTTTGTTATTATTTTTATTTATTTATGTGTGTTTCCATGTACCCCTTAATTTATTGTTGCAATTGCACATGATCTTCCCACTTTTGTCTTTTAACCTTAGTTCTAGCTTTAGTGTTGGCTGATTCACTGCTTTTATTCTGCGCTTGCCTTTGTCAGTGTGGATTTTTTTTCTTGAGATATTTTCTTATTCATAACTTTGATTTTTTCTCTACTTATTGAAGAAGTTAGTTTCTTTAGCATTTCTTATAATACTGGTTTGATGGTAATGAATTCCTTCAGCTTTCTCTGGTCTGGGATCACCTTTATTTTTGAAATGTGCATTTATAAGATTCATTTTTTTCAAACTTTGGTGACAACTCAATTTATATTTTTGAATAAACCATTGAAAAGTAGCAGATATATTAAATGTAGTCTATAGTGAAATTGATCTTTAAGACTTAAAATAAGCCATTCAACTGGAAATAAAAAATTATCAAAAAAAATTTTTTTTTTTTTTATAGTTGAGAATTTGGTCTAGGGAACAGAGCACTGAGGTGAGCAAGGGAGATTTTTTTTTATATATTTTGTTGATTTTTTACAGAGAGGAAGGGAGAGAGCTAGAGAGTTAGAAACATCGATGAGAGAGAAACATCGATCAGCCGCCTCCTGCACACCTCCCACTGGGGATGTGCCCGCAACCCAGGTACATGCCCTTGACCGGAATCGAACCTGGGACCTCTCAGTCCGCAAGCCGACGCTCTATCCACAGAGCCAAACCGGTTTCGGCATCAAAATTTTTTGCAGATTGGGCTTTAGGAAAACAAACTGGTACAGATATAAAGAAAATTTATTTTCAAGATACAAGGGTGAGTGTTAAGAATCTATTACTAGCCCTGGCCTATATGGCTCAGTTGATTGAGTGTAGTCTCATACACGGAAAGGTTACTGGTTTGATTCCTGGTCAGGGAACATGCCCAGGTTGCATTTCAATACCCAATAAGGGGCCTGCAGAGGTGGCCAAATGATGTTTTGCTTCCATATCTATCTTTCTCTCTCTCTCTCAAATACATTTTAAAATATATTTAAGATAAAAAGAATCTATTACTAGCTTTAGAAAAAGCAAATTACTCAACATCTCTCAGCTTCTATTTGATTATTTTTTATGAGGATATTAATATCACAGTAAGGATTGAATTAAACTATATTATCTAAAGTAAGGTGCTTAAGATGCTAGAAAGTAGTGGAATAAATAGTAACTAGTTGGAGAAGGGGCTGGTGGTGTGTGTAATAAACAACAGAATGTCTGAAACACTGAGTACCTTTAAAGATGATCTCCTTTAGTATTTTTCTAAAATTAATCATATTTTGTACATAATTTAGAAATTGTATAAGACTTACCTTTTTTATTTGTTTTCTTAATTGATTAGCCCGTAAAATTGCACAGAAAATTGTATATCTTTACAAGAAAAATCAGGATTTACTCCAATTTATCCTACCCCATATAAAAGCAGAGAGAGCAAGGCTTACAGCCACACTCAGTAAAGATGCATGGGGGTGAATATAACGCTTACCTCCCCAGCCACTGTTGATAGATACACAGCCAGGAGCTCCAGCGTCATAAGCACAGACTGAACTGTTGGGAGGTTCTGAAAATCGATCTGCAGAGTAAATGGGATATGTAAATTTAAAAAAGTAACTCTAGGAAGAAAGTTTAAACTTTTAATAAAAGTCATGAGAAAAGCGGGGTGGTGGGGGGAGACATAAATACTCCCCTCCATAAAAATAGAAAGAGCCTTATTCCGCTTTATAATATGGCCCATTCATAGCATTTCACATTTCATTCACTTTGAGAGCTGAAAGCTTCTCAGAGATGTCAGCTTGTAGAGACCAGTAGACCAGCAGGTGTTTTAAGTCTGCTGGTCACTTGTTTTCTCCGAAATACAAGAGCTGCTTGCAATAATTCAGATGTGCAGGAAGGCTTTTTCAATACCAAAGCACCACACTCTAATCCTTGCTTCATTCCATACTTTAGCCTGAGTTTCTTGGAAGTCTAATCACTACCAAAGAAGACCACTTGGAAAAGAATTTCATGGAAATGGGAAACTTGTTCAACTAAGGAACCTTGGGAACAAGGAAATGGATTCTAGGACTAGAAACAGTAAAGCCAAGTAGAGCAACTCACCTACACGAGAGGAAGAAAAGAGAAGAGCTTTCTAGATAGAAACCCAGAGTTCCAAGCTGAAGCATCTCATCTCTACTCCATGCCCCCATCCTATTGTATCGGTACAAGAAGAGAGTAGTCTAGTTACTAGACCAGTTCCTTCCTGTTTTCATTCCTTTCTTCTGCCTGAATTTAACAACGAGTAGAAAGTAGAATGTATGTTGAAAGCCACATATTAGATACTTTTTTCACTAACAACTTATGAGGCAAAGATTTAGGCTTTTAAGGAAAAGTACCTTAGTTTGTATGAAACTTCACCCTGGGTTTTATAGTTGAAAGAAGACTTTGTCATATTTCTGATAATAATCTCACCTCATGAAACAAAGGGGTTTATAGTACCACATTTCTTTGACAAGATTGTCAGGCCTTAAGATGATGATGATGTCTCAAAAACTGAAGATTTTGAAACTAGAGGGGAAGATTTCTTCTCTAAGTAGTATTCTTATCTAGTTCCTATAAATTAATTTTAAAAACTGTAATTTTTACCAAAAAAGTCTATAAAATGTGAAGAATAAATATGCCAAATGATTTTACTAATAAAAAATCATTTGCTCAGGTCATAAGAAGGTCTGAATAGAAAAAGTGGTTATATTGACTACTTCATGAAAATTCAAATAATTACATTTAAACATATTAACTATAATGACACTTGCATAAGTGAAGAAGGAAAAAGGCAACATTTCTTGGAAAGAATTAAAATGTACATACCTGTTTCATATAGCTGTCCATAATATAAGGTGAGTGCCCACAATACATTGTCTGTTTTGTTTTTTCCAAATCCAGCAAAATATCTGTTTGATTTTTCAATAAGGATTTTATACATTTTTAATCGATCAATATATTTCCAGGGATCAATGATTGTTTTGTTATTCTGTACTGGAAATTCTGCTATGTCCCCATTAATCTGGTCCCAAAAAGGGGGGTAGCTGTCATTTTCATCTGTGGCTGACCCTGGATTTGGGGCCAATTCCACAGAAAAAAAACTCAGGAATAGAAAAGTGGGGGTAATCAAAGAAGACCACATCTTCTCACTGGTTGTGTGCTTAAGCCTAAATCTCAGCTTGTAGAGACGAACTATAATTATAGAGCTGAGGAGGATCAGATGATATTTTTCTGCCAATTAGAAAATGGGGAATCTCTGAGTGGATGATACTCTGACCAACCAGCACCTGAATAGCTAATGATATGCGATGATAATAAATGGGCATCTGCCAATGTAGACATGGTGATTAGACTAATTAATGGCACTAGATGTTAAGATATCAACGACGGTCCTTTTTTAATTAATTTTTTTATGATTTTTATTTTTTATTTTATTTTTTTTTCTCTTGAAATACAGAATTTTATTTAGAAACTGCTCAAAGTAGAAAAAAAAACCCCTGTCAAGAAAGACCAGGTGGAAAATGGGTTCCAAATAAAATGGAATTTTAGGGCAACAAAAGTCTAAAGGCCACAAAAGAGAAATAGCACCACTGTTACTTGAACAACGGCTAGTTACTTGCATTTTTGGCATTGTTAATCACTGAATCTGGGTTTCTCTTTGAATTTCACACAGAGCATGCACTACACAACAATTTATTATGAAATACCTGCTTCCTACACACATTTTAGGACAAACTACCACCATCAACAAATCAATACAATTACATCAGGGGCCGAACAAGCTCAGTAGTGGGTGACACACATTTTGCAGAATTCTGCCAAACAAAGGAACCGAATAGGCTGTAGGCAAAGCAAATGAGGGGTGTTAAGGAATGAAATAGTCGAAATATTAATAATTAATTCAGACATGGTACTGTATTTTCTGCAAAAGAAAATTAACATTTAGTAACATGCTAACGAATTTTATCTCCAAAGAAATTAGTGCACTGGCAAAGTATTCTGATAACAGTGGAGGGCTGTGGACAGCAGGTACCAAAAAACCCAGCCTTGCAGATCTCAAGGTAGCGATGGCCTTCACTGATCATTCCCTTTGTCAGAGGTCCAAAAAGAACTTGCAGCATGATCACTTGCCTGCTGAACTTTCACTCTAAGCAGCAAACTTTAAGGAGCCAAACAGGAGTGCCCAGTGGGCAAGGGATGCAGACAAACATGTTAAATGTAAACTTAAAAGACAGCAAAATGGGACACAAACCCCCATTCAAATCCCAGAGATGTGGGCAAGTCCCCAAAAGTAGTTGTTAGAATTTAAAACTGAACACACCTCATTTCCCAAAGACACAATACACAGAAATTTCAGGGGTAACTGGAAAAATCATCAGAGAAATGCTCAATGAATATCAAGCTATTCAACTCAGATATCTCAGGGCTGAAACATACCCTCTATTCATTCAGCCAACAACGCCTCTTGCAGAGATGCAGTTGGTCAAGGACACCAAATGGCTTTAGAGAGCAACTTTTTAAATGTTCCTTCTGGGCCAAGGTTAGGCCTATGAAGATTCAAGCAGCTCTGCAAGGCCTGTGAACAGCAAGTTCTGAAGGTTCCAAGTTCTGGCCCTTCCTTCCCAGACACAAGGTCAACACACAAACTCTCCCATCAGGTTACATTTTATATTTTGAGATATGCAAACGTAATTCAAATACTCTTGAGGCATTCATTTATTAAAACATTCTCTGCCAAGATTTCACATTGGCTTAAAATTAAATTCAGACTTTACATTTCACTACTGAGGGATCCACCTCAGCGTATCACATAAACACACCTTCTCCAGCCATCAGTGTTACCAGCATCCATATGGTGAGCCCATGGTCAGCCTCTTTGTTCCCCAAGTGAACCAACTAGATGTTAATACTGCTCTGCTACAAGGTAAAAGCTCCTAACTCAAACTTATTGAAAAAAGAGTAAAACGTCTGCAAAGTGCACTTTAAGAAGAGGTACTCTTTGCTTATGCAAAGAAACCAGTGAGTCCTCTAAAAATAATAAAAGGGAGTACTTTACAGTTAAGCACATGATTTGGAGTGAAGAATTCGGATGTTGCTCTGCTGGTCCAAGCTGTTAATACTCTTCTTGTTCCTCCTGTGGGCCCCCTCCATCGGGTATCACAAAGCCTTCATCTGTGGCATAGAGAATGTCCACAGTCCTCTGCAATACAGGGTTGTTTACCCCCTCGTTCTCCTGGCAAATCAATTCAATGTTCCTTAGCTTTCCAAAGTAGAAATCTCTTTCTTTCTCCAAGTGTTCGAGGGTAAGTTTCAATACGTTGACCTGCTGCGTCAGTTCAGCTGCTTCGCAGTCCCCACTGCCCACACCAGGATTCTTTCGCACCACACGGGGGCCAGCCTGAGGGGCTGCAGTAGTTCTGTGTGTCGCCATGGGGCTCTGGAGCTGCACTGCTAGAGCTGAGAGGTTTCTTTGATTTGTTCATAGCTGGAGCAGCAAGGGAGGGAGCCACTGCAGTTTCTTGACCTTGTCTGGCAGCTACAGGGTCATAGTCTTTTCCATCATAGTTTGCATCAAAAAACTTCTTGAACCACTGAACGAATTCAAAATTGTCCTGAAACTTTCCTTTTACTAACCTGTCCACAGGAATTATTTTGTCAACACCCATCCTCTTAAAACCTGCTTGTAGTATTTTGAAGTTCTGGATGTATTCATGTTCTAGCTTAGCTTGAAATTTCACTTTCTTCAAGGCAATGGAGCCAAGGGAACAGCATGTCCATGACTGACAATAGGCAGCCCCTGAGCACAACTGTTCGACCTTTGTCAGATTCAACTGCAAGGACTCATTGATCCAGGCCGGCATGTCATGTCGACTTAGGTTATCACTGGTGACTGACGTTGAATATACGTTCACTGCCATCTTCGGCTCTCAGAGGAACCACGTCCACTGCCGTGCCCGGCTTCGGTTCTGTCCTAATTTTTTTATGATTTTTTAAATTGATTTTTAGAGAGGAAGGGAGAGAAACATTGATCACCTGACTCCTGCATGCCTCGTACTGGGGTCAAGCCTGACACCCAGCATGTGCCCTTACACCAACAACTTTTGGTGCATGGGATGACACAACCAACTGAGCCACACCGACCAGGCATGGCAGTCCTTTTCAAGAGGAAGGAAGGTTCAGTAGATCTATCTAGTGTTGAGAATCTGAAATAGTGGGGAAAGCTTTAGTGTAGATTATCTAAAAGTCAATCAACTTCAATAAACTTTTTCAGGAGACTGAATCAGTGGGCACTATCTACTTCCTATGTACTTTTAAGTGTCACTGGAAAGAAATTTTCCTTTAGTTCATCTTCAGTATAGCTCTCCATATACACTAGTAAGCAACTACTTGCCATCTCTTATCTACCCTTGGCCATCAGAGTCACCCTCCTTTCTTTTCTGAATGCATTATAGCAATTGTATTTACAGCACTTCACAGTTTACAATGTGTAGAGAGTGCCTGGGAAGGCACATGAGCTGATTGTTGGCTGAGTCCAGTGGCATCGGCAGAGCCACATCCTGGAAACATATCTTGCCAGAGGCAAGTATGTTCTCAACCTGACCTTTAGCTCAGGCGCCAGGGGGTGGGTTTCATTATCTGATTTCAGCAATTATCCAGGCTCAGCCAGGAGTGACAATCACAAAGAAGCCACAAGAATGAAGAATTGCAGCTTGATCTTTAACCATGATTTCACATAATTTCCTTTGTCTTAAACTCTAGTAAAACTTCCTGGTATCGCGCTGCACTAGCTCTGGGTCACTGTCTCTCCATCTGAGGGGAGCATCCCACCTGGTCCCAACTTTACTTAAAGTCTTTGTGTCTGTCTCTTTTTTTCCTTTTCTCAATCCCCAGCTGCCCCTACTCAGGACTCATCTGCTCTCTAGCCATGCTGGTTGCGGCTCGAGAGAGGAAACTTATAACAATGTACTGTCATTTACATACTAAATATTAATTGTGTACCAACTAATAAACACTCTGGTATTTACCAGAGTATTAAGTAAATAATTGTCCATAGTGCCTTAACATTTCGAGATTCTTGCAAACAAATTAATAAAATACAATGTTTTACATGCTAATAAAGATACATACAAAGGTTAAGAATTCTGGTTCAGGAGCAGGGGAAGGTGAAATGGGAAAATTAATTCAAACTGGATGTTTTATCTGAAATCAAAAAGTTAACTAAGAATAGAAAATGCAAACAAGTAGCATAAAACTTAGAGAGATGAAATACTATGTGCAAAGATATTAAGATAAACATATGAGAAAAAGAATGTTCTGAAAATGAGGGCCTATGTGTAAAATCATCAGAAATTAGGTTGCTAACTTAGGACATGACCAGACCACAAAGGTTAATTCATGTTAATTTTAATAATGAAGTAACCTTTAGTGACTTTAATCTTGTGAGATTCATTGTCTTCTGTTTTTATTTTAGAAAAATTAATCATATACCTGTATTTCTAACTGAATTAAATCTAAGTACATATTTTCTGCTAACATTTTCTTTTATTTATATAATGAACTAGAGGCCTGGTGCACAAAAATTTGTGCCTTCAGGGGGGGTCCCTCAGCCTGGCCTGTACGCTCTCACAGTCTGGGACCCCTTGGAGGATGACCACCTGCTGGCTTTGGCCTGCTCCCTAGGGGATTGGGCCTAAGCTGGCAGTCAGACATCCCTCTGGCAGCCGGGCAGCCTCAGGGGATGTCCACTTGCCAGCAGGGACAAACTGCAGTTGGACATTCTTAGCACTGCTGAGGAGGCAGGAGAGGCTCCCACCACCACCGCTGTACTGGCAGCCATCAGCCTGGCTTGTGGCTGAGCAGAGCTCCCCCTGTTGGAGTGCACTGACCACCAGGGATCAGCTCCTGCATTGAGCACCTGCCCCCTGGTGGTCAGTGTGTGTCATAGTGACCAGTCATTCCCAGTCATTCTGCTGTTAGGGCCAATTTGCATATTACCCTTTTATTATATAGAATAGAGGCCTGGTGCACGGGTAGGGGCCAGCTGGTTTTCCCTGAAGGGTGTTCCAGATCAGGGTGGGGGTCCTGCTGGGGTGCCTGGCCAGCCTGGGTGAGGGGCTGATGGCTGTTTGCAGGCTGGCCAACCCCCCCAGTGGG